TGCTGGCTCTCTCGCCTGCTAATTCATTATTGGGCTTTGACTGCGGGGGTCGACACCTCAATATTACGTCTGTTTCACTCCTCAACTCTGGAGACTGCGACCTTGATATCAAGACGACTAACAACACCAACGTCTATATCCAGCTTCTTCAACTATCGGAATACAATTACGCTGAGGTCATTCAATGCAAGGTAGAAGTTCAGCGCCACATATACTACTGCGGTATGCACTCTCACGTATCCATCGTGAGAGGCGGGTATTCCACTTACCTAGACAATGTAGAACGGAGCCATTGTATGCAAATGCATGAAACCGGAGTCGGTAATGTCGGTTTCAACCAAGTAACCAAACTCCTAGTTAACACCACTAACATCCGTGAGTTGATAATGGCAGGAACAGTAAATGCTGACGAAAAATGTACAGGAGGAAAATATAACGACCCATACGGCAACTTCGACGACGTAGTCGTAATGGCCATCGCAAAAATCACACTGAAATCATCATACGTACCAGTACACCTAAACAGCGGAAAGATCCACTTGAAGTCCGAAACCACTTGCGAGTTAAAAGAAGGACGCTGTGTTGACCCCGATCACGGACACACCTACTGGAACGCCATACCCAGAGCCTGCGACTTCCATGCATACGACGTCCTATACGAAGGATTCGCAAAGAAAATCAAAGAAGATACCACACAAACAACCTCGCCCACCGTTTACTCCCTCATTTCCCGTGACATTTGCCCTTATGACTACAAAGGAAACCCCAATTTGCGGTTATATATTACAGCGCACAGAACATCCTAAATTATTCATTGTAGAAACGACAAAAGGGAACGAACCGAAACCCCGAGGTGACATTTCCGTCGACAATCTGGACATTTTCAACTATGTAAACTCAAAATTCGTTTACGTAGAAAAACATATACGCACTCAAATGACAAATTTATATCAAAACGTAATTAAGCAGTGCTGTGAACTTGAGAAGAAGGTTATCGAAAATATTCTGTCCTTGGCAACTCTTTTACCAGATGAATTTGCTTACAGACTCATGAAAGGGCCTGGCTACATGGCAGTGACCGCTGGAGAGGCCATGCACGTTGTCCAATGCATCCCTGTCGAAGTCACTGTACGCCGAACAAAGGAATGTTTCCTTGAACTCCCCATCACTCTGAGAAATACCTCCTTATATCTTACTCCTAAATCCCGAATTATCACCCGTGTGGGAACTCAAAGAGAGTGCTCTTACGAATTACCTACTCTCTACCGTATAGAAGACACCTGGATACAGCTGACACCTGATCCTCATGTGCAACAGACACCTCCGCAACAACTTCAGCCGTTGACCAAAATCTCCTGGAAATACCTTACACCTGGACCTCTTGCTACAAGCGGAAT